TATGGACATTCTTTTCTAGAGAAACTTTCAGCAGTGAGAGTGCAAGATATATGTCACAATAAGCATTGCATGTGATTGATATTTGACACTAAATGGCCAGCAGTTTGTTTATTGCTTAAGGAGATATTTTTTATTCATATATACATTTCTCCAAGATTTTTTAAAGTTAAACAATGAGATAAATTTTCTTATTTTGCATGGGAAGAAGTATGTAATTATAATGTGTAGAAAGTAAAGATAGAGATAAACGTGAAAATATTTCAAAAGTTTAACAAACACCAGAAAAATGAAGTAAGAAAATATTTTCAATAAACTAACCAAACACCTGAAAATGATGAAAGGGAAATGATTTTCATGGAAAATTACTTCCACAGAAAATATTTTTCCAAGAAAAACATTTTACTTCCAACCAAACAGACCCTTAAAATGCAGAAATTCTATCTCAGCTCACCCATGTGGAAGTTTGAACACTTGCATTAATAGAGAAAGTCAATTAGAAGTAATTAAAAAAATCAGTATCAACTAAACCATGGATTTGAATAGTATAGGGTCACTTAAAAGTAAAAAGCTAAAAAAATTGAAGAGTACGTATACTAAAAAAATTGAATCACCCAACCCCCTCTTTCTCTCCTTGGGAGGGGGAGAGGGAGAGTGGGGGACCTCAACCTATATGGTGCACATTGGATTTCTTATCCATGGTCGGTTGGGAAGACCTGGATTTTCAATCGTGGCACGTATAAATACGAAGTAATTGTGATTTGGATTCACCATGGGGCAATGGATACAACTATTTTGGATTTCTTTGGTTATGGAAGCACACAATTTTCACATGTATACTAGCTAGAGTATCGCATATGATACTCGTACAAATAGATACTAGCCAGTTGATAAATTGATGTCCAGACAAATTTTCCTGCGTATCCAAATCGATTGTTAACGCCGACAATATACTGTTCCATATTCCAAATTAAATAGAGGACGATATACATACATACTTGCTAAGTTGAACAGGAAGTGCCCAAGGGGTTACGTACTTCCCCTCGTCCAGATATAGCTTCTAGTTTTCTACTGTAACCCCCACAGCCGTAACTTTGTTTTGCAGGCTGAGAAATGAATTCATCGTTTTAAAACTGAAGTTTTGAAAGCTTATAATCCCCTCCTACTTGCTTAAGTTTTGGTTTTCCTTGAACAAGAATGAAATTCACGGCTGCGCTTTAATTGGTGTTGATTTTTAGCTACTTCTAGTTACCAGAGTCGGGCATGCATAAAGTATACATCATAGCAAGAGTAGATGGTTAGAACTAACAAGGAGTTGAACCACTACTACTCCTGACCATAAAAATTAAAGGGGAAAAAAGAAATTTTTTTTTAAAAAAAAAAAAGAAGAAGAAAGAAAGAAAGAAAATAAGGGCTATGGGGTGAATGGTAGGATCATTAAGATTGAGTTCTGAAGAGAATCCGAACCAAACAGAAAAAAGTTGGATGAAAACTCAAAAATAGGGACTTTTTGCGGCAGCATTGCTATTTGCTGCCCCCCTGCCACATTCTGAAATGCGTTCCCTCAAGATGTATTATAGGCTCCAAGATGAGCAGAGACTTAGAGACACCTGAAAAAAAAAAAAAGAAAAATCGCCAAGAATCATCCAAACAAACATTATTGCCTGGTGGAGCCTCATGTCTGGAATAGTGGGAAGCCAAAGTTGAGAATTATAGAAGGATTGAGAAAAAAGACGACTACTACTACAACTACAACTACTAAAGCCAACACTGACGCAGAAGCCACTATTTCCTGCTAACAAGGCTGGCCTGCGAGCAAGCATATTCACAGATGTTGATTCTGCCGCAGTCTTGAATTGCACTTCCTACTTCCTACCCTACTATTTCTACTTCTCAGTTATACTACTATTTCCCTTTTTGCGCTGAAGAAACGAATCAGAAACATGAAAAGGGCTAACGAATTTATAGCCAAGGAACAATAAAAACGGAGAGAAAGCGAAAGGCGTGCCCCTCCCTTCGCTGCTGAGACTGATCCGCATACCCCTTAAAAGATGTCTCGAACAGAGTGTCTTTTCATGAGCTTTCTTTGTTAATACTGACTACATCATTGCACCAACTTTCTTGGTTAGCTTTCTAGTTTGGTTCTGTTCTTTTTGAACCAGAAAGCTAAGCTAGGAATTCGTTAGCAACCAAATTTATTACTTAATTTCAATCCGATAATGTATTTTGGACTAGATCATCTGCAACAACAGCATTTTTTTTTCCTTTGATAAGAATTGGATGGTTTTGGCTCCAATGAGTCAAGACATGTCTCTGAAACTGTAAGTTACTCACAAGATTGCTTATAGATCACTTACTATTATAACCCTCAAGTCTACAGTAAAAATTGTAACCCTCAAATCCACAGTAGAACCCTAACAGGCGGACCTTTTGCAAAGAAATGATCCGTGCTAACAAGTTAATCTGATATGTGTTGGCCAACAATAGCTGCATGCCATGCAGCGCTTCTTATGATGGCAATTTTCTCTAATGTGGAGAACGAATCGCTGGGTTCGTACGCGAGTCATTGCGTGCTCACTCTACTCGATGTACATTGTTAGTGGTAAAAAACTAAGACCCCTAATAACCTCTTCCCAATAATTAAAAAGAAATGAAAAGAAGTCAGACAAGAAATGAGCACCGAAATTTAGAAATGAAATAATAAACATATCTAGCAATGTATAGCTCGAAGCAAATTATTACTATGCCTTTTCTCTTCTCACATTAAATCCCAAAATTTCTGACATAATTGGCCCCCCCCCCTTTTTTTTCTCTATCTGAAGAGAGGAATCACAATATATATTGCTCATGTTTGTACTGCTTTATACATGTGCTGCACTCACTCTCTCTCAAGAGTCAAGAGTGAGAGACTAGAGACTAGAGGGATTGGGACGAAAACATAGTTGGATGAGTAACAGTTACAGTTAGCAGCGTCTGTCGTGACGTCCATTATTCAGGACGTGGATGGGACTTACCAATCGACCGTGGCTCATATCATATGTGTTATAACCTCAAAGGACTCTACGTACGCAATTTCTTTGTGCATATTGAGATGCGAAATGTTGCATTCTCACATGTTGAAGGAATAATTGCCGGTCGACCAGTATTTTCAGAGTCCTCACCCGATGGTACCCCCTCCCAAGCAATCAAGAAAAGGGAAAAGGAAAGAAATTGAAGCTGAGAAGTTAATGGCGTGGATTGGTTACTGGATGATATTCTTCCTTTCATGAGGCCTATATAGGAGCAGCCGTCTCCATCCGAAATGAAACTTATGCCAACATCCACAGGCTACTATACTGTGCAGCAGAGTTTAGTGTAAGCGAGACTCATTCATTCAACAACTTTCTAGCAGCTACGCTCTGATACTGTAGTAGCAGCACACTTTATCAGAGAGAGTTCCTTTGATCATGTGAGACTGTCTGAGTCGGTTTTAATTAAGTCAAACCTCATCTTCTTCTTCTTTTTTTTTTTTTTTTTTTGGGGGGGGGGGGGGTGTTCGTGTGATTCAGCTGGTTTTAACAAAATATATATAGTAGTAATGCAGGAACAAATAAAAATTTTTTTTTTTTTTTTTTTTGTTGTTTTTGTGTGTGTGTGTGTGTGGGGGGGGGGGGGGTTGTTAGGGAGGGTATTGAGGAACGTGTTGCTGTCGCTTACTCTTGACGCCATGGATTATGGATATGGAAATAAAAAAAAATGGCATATGTTCTTCTAGTATTGTTCTTTGATCCTCCATTGCATCTTTCCATGTGAAAGCCAACAGATATATAGGCGGCTTGCCTTTGAACCAGCATAATGTAAATTGTCTCTCGTTTTCATCATAATCTCTCCTGATTAATGAAGACTTTCGGTTCCGCTAATCCCCTAACTGTTTGGATGTTAATTAATTGAGTTCTATGCAGTTCATGGATCAGAGTAGGATTAAATGACATTAAATAATTTAATTGATCTCGATCGTGTTATTTCCTATGGAGCCGCATAGAGTTAACACTTGCTACCATCTCAATTTCCATAGTCGGATGATCGCTTAAAATGAGACGTTGAGAACAGTTAACTGACCATTGCAAAACAAAAAGAAAAGAAAGAATGAAGCCATAATATTAATTTGAGGCTTCGAATGCCGAAATAATTTGTCTAACTCGATGTTGAAAGGTGTACAAGATGCTTGAAGAAGAAGAAGGAGGTAGGCGGATAATGATGAATGGATGTAGTTGTACAGTGCGCGTTAAAAAAAAAAAAAATATCTGAGAAAAAGATCTGCCCGTCGGTCGTGTCAGGGAAGGTACCGGCTGGCTGCTAAATCCAAAAGTCTATTTTGTCCTCCAGGCGGACATGGATCGTGGGAGATGCCACACTTTGGGCCTCTAAGGACACATGGGACGTTCGTTGCCATGGGACTCAAATAGACGCGTGCACGATCCACTTGCCTCAAACGGCATCAGTAGCTGGATGACTAATCCGCATATCCGATCCATCCCGCTCTCTCCCCCCCCCCCCCCCCAAATTATTAAAAAAAAAATCAAAATATATTTTAATGTTCTCGTACATTACCAAAATACTAGTAATGATCATCATTATCATAATCCGACTAAAGGCATCGGCCAAGACTCTGATTTGAGATCAAAGGTTAGGAAAGTTCTTTTTCATTGTCGTTACAAATTGGGGGTTTGGCTGATCAATCCTAAACGCTCATTTACTCGACCGTCAAGAAAAATTACAACACTTATGTGCTGATCCACCTGTCGCCTATGTAAAGGATGCATTTTCCACCAAATACATTTGGACCATATGTATCTTACACGTTTCTTCGAACAGGCTGTTCTCCTTGTTCCTTATGCTATAAACGAAGAGAGTCAATTTCTGTTGACGTTATTTTTGTAACTGATTTTTTTTTTTAAAAAAAAAAAATCGATTAAATTCATTATTCATTAATTTGTAGATAAAAAGGGCACATTAAATTCAAAACAGATAACCCATCAATTTCGATATATTAATCAAACCAGTGCCCCTTTTTTTTTCTTTTGGAAAATTAGTTTAACTAATTCCTAAAATTGAGCGCATTTGAGAGGTAACATTTATAATGTGACTCAATATTTAGAAGAAAAGAAATCAGCATCGTCCCAATAACGAAAGAGGAACTCTTACTATGGATATATCGCCATCTTAGTAGCAGATAGCATCTTTCCCTAACGAACCGAAGGACAGCCTAGTCTTCTTGTCGGATCCGAAGCTGAACTTAAGATCGTCTGCATCAACTTGAGCAGAGGCACTACTTGTCGAGGGGAATGGGAATGAAAACACAAGCGCTGGAGTTGACCTCTTAGTGCCAAAACTGTAAGCAGGAACTGCAGGCAATTCATTTGGCTGAGATACCACCTCAATCAAAGAGAATGGCATGACGGAGGGTGTTGGTGGCTCTGACAATATACTGGACGAGGCGGATACAGGGAAGGCAAATGCAGAGCCATTATCAGATGACACGGCACGACTCAGATCGTGCCTCCCAACAGAAATTTGTGGCAAAGTCGGCCTTGTCCCAGATGAGTGTGGTGGTGGCTTCTTTGATGGCTCAAGGCCGGATTCACTCTGTGACGTTGTGACATGCTTCCCATTACTCTGATGCTGGGAAGGGTTTTGTAGACTCGACCTCTGCCATAAAGACATTAAGAGTTTGATTCAACAGAATATTCAACAATAGTCATACCGAATCAATTCGGCAAGCATGGATCCTGTTTCTCCATGTAACCAGATTCAACTGGTCAGAAGGCCACCACATCACTATGGCAACTCTACCCTCCGTTCCCTTCAAATGACACTACCAATCAACAAACTACTTCAAGAATTAATGTAATGGCCTCGCATGTTTAGTCTCTCTCTTTCAAGCTTAAAACTAACCGGCACACTAGTCCAACATGTGATCTATTACTATTCACAATATGTTTTATCCAAATCTTTCATGATATAAATGCCAGGTCAAACTCAGACATACATTATCATGAGATTTTAAGATTACGAAGTCACAGTGTGAGATCCATCTAGCTCAATACGAACTGCAAAAGAATAACCTGATGAACCATGAAAAGCAACCACACAAGCGTAACATGATCACAAAGAATTACATACCTCCTGGAAACTTTTTAGTTGAGAAGAAGTACTCTTCAAAGAAAACAAGGACCCACTGTTGGTATCACTTTGCACTGTAGCATCACCATCGTTTATGCCAGGAGGCTGACTACTTGCGACTATAGCATCTTTAGCTTCTTTACTTCTCTCCTGGGATTCTACTTGATTCTTTGAATTGCCTCCAAGTTTATTTCCTTCAGAAATAAGTTTCGGATCAGGCAAATCAGTTTGCTTTAAAGAACCAAATTCTTTGGGATTTGAGAAGCTGATATTTTCCTTCAGCGTAGCATGGGAAGCCCCAGGAGGAGATCTCTTCCATGCAGTAGCTAGCCGTATCTCTGCTGCCTTCTCTTGAGGTGTGGGCTTGCGACTATCAAGCTGTTCCAATATTCTTTTTACTGCCTGACTGCATGATGGGTTCACATGGGTGTTATTCCCAACACCCTTTCCCGCATGGTTGCCTTGCTGTTGTCTTGAAGTACTAGCTTCACCAGGTTCCAGATTCTTCTGTAAATCAGGCAGGAGGCCTTGAAAGGCAATGGGCTGTTGAATTGGTGAAGGAGCATCTTTAGAAGGCTTAAAAAGAATAGACCCTCTTGGTCTGGCTTCTGAAGCAAGTTTATTTCGCATGTGACGGACTGGTCCAACTGATCCATAGCCACTATCAAGCACATCATGTCTTGATTTTACCTTAAAAACGGAAAAAAAATAACCGTAAAACAAACTACTCTATATATACATAAAAGAATGCTACAGCAATTTGAGTCATGATAGTCGATAGAAGGATTGCAGCTTGGATACTAAATCTACTTCTATACGACTCATCAAAAAAGAGCTCAATCAATATCTGACGTTTCAGATAGGATAGACCACCACTGACTCTACAAGCATCTCTTGCAGAGTTGACCATAGGTCGCTATAGAGAAAGATGAATTTTACAGAAGAAAAAGATCACAATGTGTGATGCAACAATAATAACCCACTAATGAGTTATACCTGTCCAAAGAACGGCATTTGAGATTGCTTCGTGGAGATTGGTGAAGTGTTTAGGTACCTGCTATCAGCTTGTGACTGAGTCAGCTGACAACATAAAAGAGAAAATAAAAGCAATCATTTCGAGTGAAAAATGAAAAGTTACATCAGTTCAAAACTTTAATGAACTCACATATACCTTGGCCCTGGACTTTGAATAAATAGTTCTAGAATATGGGGTTCTAGGAACATCATGCAGTCCATGCCTTCCTCTGTGATTTGGTGTTGTATAAAGATGTTTTTCCTGTGCCATGGCACCTGGCCAACAAGTTGATAACCAAGGAGAAGATGAAGAAATAAAGTGCTTTGATGCAAATTCATCACCAATCTGACGAGCTGTTTCACCTTTTGAAGAAACACTATAAGGAACACCACCCTGTTCTGATAGTCGACTTCCCATATAAGCTCTAGCAATATCTATAGGTGATGCGCTAATTTCATCTTGCACCTACAGAATTCATTTGGAACAATTCAGCAAATATTGTAATATTGAAAATAAGAAGATGATAGTAAAGCTGTAGACTATTGAAACTTTTGCAGGCTCATGCATTTGCCAACTCCATTACAATAACTAGAAGCTCAGTCTGCAACAGAAATTTTAATCCTAAAACATGTTATTTACCAACAAGAACATGCTGCAAATAGGACTAGTGAAAGAGTCATTATACTCACACTCGGCTGCGGGGAAACTGTCGCAGTTCTTACGATAGCTGTCTTCATATCCCCCTGATCTCGTTCATCTGACATCTTTGGAAATGGGCCCAGCAAACCTCCTTCACTACGTCCTGCAATGGCCAGGATTTTGTTCTTTTCTTCCCTCTCCACATCTGAAACATCACCGGCCTTAGAGCTTATTATCTCCATCAATCGGTTGATCTCATCTCTACATGGATTGAAGAGTAGTTATACAGATGGTTTAACCACAACTAGTGACAAACTATGCTTGTGATGATGCATATATACTTGACTTTATAGATAGACATGTAACCAGCAGAGCATCTGCAAAAAATTTAACAGCTCCCACAAAAGTGAAATATGAAAGATGGATGGGACTGGAAGAGTTTTTGCATCTACAATGATGACTCAGAGATATCAACAAAATTTCTTCATCATCAGCAAACATCTAAAATATGAAGCTAGGCCCTTAAATTATTTAGAACTCATGCTGTTTCAAACTAAATACATATTCACTATAATGTCTGCATACATCAAATACTGAAGAATGATCCACAGGATGCTTCATGGACAATGACGGAAGGCTTACTTGGAAAGCAAGATAGGACAAGCTCATTGCTTACTAAGCCATTTGTTGCAACTTTTTGTACTGGAAGAAATAGAAATCAAATGAAGACTCTAAAGACATAAACAATTTTAAGTAGGCTCATAAGCAAGGTTTTCCCTGCAATTTCCTCAATGAGCTGACAGTTGGAAAGAACAACATATGTAGTAAATATTTCTCCCAATATTCTTTACCATAAGTTTCTACCTTTTCAAATAAAATCTTCTTCAATGTTCACTTGCAAGCAAATTCAACATTTTAATATTGTTACTTTCAAAAAGCAGCCAAATTCAGAAGGAAAATATTTCATGTAAGGCTACCATAATGGTGCATTAAGGGAAGAGCTAGGAGAACAAAACATAATGAAGGGAACAAAAATAACTGGAGATAAACACAAAAAAGACTGGAGATAAACACAAAAAAGACACCAACGTACCTAGAAAAAGTTTTCCCTTTTATGAGCTGCTCAATTTTGGAAATTTGAGAATCATTGTCACAGCTCTTTGGTTTATTTTGTCCAAACATGTCACTCTGACAATTTCTCTTTAAGCCATTTGCAGCTACTTCACTTGGACCAGGTCTTTCATTAGACTGGGGTACATCATTCTACATCAAAATGATTCCAAAAGTTCAAAATGGGAGTATGTAAAGATGAAGCTACAACATTATTTCTCATTCAATGCACTTGGACAGTTTCACTGTACCAATAAAGCAGCAGTGATAGTAGTTTAACCACTTCTATATCACTATTAGAACCACATACCATAATAGCAGGAGTAACAACCACTAAAGTGATCAATTTTAAATCGAAAGGTTTCAGAGGCAAAACCAACACAAACTATATCATCAAGACAGTCTTCAACTATGACAATGTTTATCTTCTCAAAGTTAATATGATTTGTCAATCTTTTCTCATTTTCTCGTTGCATGATTCCAAAACACTTCCTTTCTCACAATTACATTGAACATAGGATAATGAACACACCAAAGCAACCAGATTATAAAGAAGAAGAAGAAGAAGAAGAATATCCTGAAATAAGCACCCTTTGATGCATGGTCTCAGTGGACACCAAGTCCTTCCTGTCGGCTTAGGTTTGTTTTTGTGAAAAAATTGTTGCCTGGTTCCACCTATCATCAACCAAGAAAAGAAAGAAACCAAAAAAGGACCCACTTAAATATAAAGGCAGGCAACAAACTGGCACTCACAGTGTATTTTTCATTGGCTTCAGCAATAGTTGCTACAACCCCGTCCAAGATATCTGTCAACAACAATGCTTACCAAGTTTACAAAATGAAATCTCAACTGAGGGAGAATACAGTACAAAGCTCCCAATCAAATGTTTATTTTAGGAAAAAAATTACAGGAAAATAATGTAGAAAATAAAAATGATTCCATGATGATGAAATTACACACAATGAAAAGGGACAAATCTGATATTTTATGTACAGTAGGCTCCAGAATTGCTCTCACGTATGGAGAGTTCAGTTAAAGTTTAAAGCTTCTCTACATTCTCTTCTGCTGCCCCCCAAATGTCCATGCGTTGTCAATATTCAATAGTTTCAAGAATAAAGGACAGAAGTGAGTCAAATGAAAAATGACCAAGCAGTCACACTTAACACCCTACAAGCCCCTTCATTTTCAAATTTGATAATACTTACTGACTAGTCTGGTGCATTATTTTCATTTTCAAATTTGATAATACTTACTGACAAGTCTGGTGCATTATTTTCATTTTCAAATTTGGTAATACTTACCGACTAGTCTGGTGCATTATTTCACCCTGAGTTCAAATGAGAAAATAACTCCTGACGGCAAATCTGCCTTCAGTTCTGAGTCGAATCAAATTAGGAAGGCCTCATGTTTTCATCGATGCGTGGTTCTAATCTGTGGTTCTAACTTAAACTTATTAGTACTTAGAGCTCCTAATTCCAGCAACTCTCTAACCCATTCTCTATTTGATACACAAGGTTAACAGCTCTACGCATTATCTAATGTATGGATGACAGGAGAAGATTGTGGTTGAAGAGCTTATGAAAAGCTTTGGAAATCTTTCAAACACCTGACGCAATCTGGCAGCCAGACTCGATCCTAAGAGACTTGATCACAAATTGACGGTTATCACCTCTATACTCATCTCTTCTTTCATTGAGTTCTTTACAATACAATTTGCAGTGACCACATCTACCCTGATAAATACCTGGTATATACCTCACTCTCTGGTGACAATCGTTAAACTTAGTTACCTCCCAAAAACCCTCCTCCTTTTGCGGTCTATTGGATACTGGAGTTGTTGTCATTAATCTTGAGACATTTTCAATAACTTATCGACATTGTAAAGATTCTAAGAGCAAGAAGCAGATTAAGGAGGAGAAAATTACTAATGCTCCGAGAGTAGTTCGTGTTTCATGTATCCAACATTACGCTAATCATTTAACAATTTGACTGGCAGGAAGATCATGAAAACAACCCCCGGAGTTGCTTACCTGGATTTTCAGAAGGGGGAGGAAGTGCGGCGGGGGTTTTGGAGAAGAAGGAAGGCAATAATTTGGTGGCGCCGTCAGCTACAAGGCGGTAGGCAGGGTCGACGATCTTGGAAAACCATCCTCCGGCGGCGGCGCGGCTGGGGCGCAGCTGATTCGTAGGAGGACGAGCATAGGGAGTGGGGTGGGGCTTCCTCGTGGACGGTTTTCTAAGCTTTCCGCCGGCGCCTCTCTCACTATCACCGTCTCCGTACAGGGTCGTCGTCGTCGTTTTGGAATCCATTCTCTCAAGCTCTCGCACCCCTAGGATGTTGGGTGCGGTGGGGCAGGGGTTTAATTTGTTAGCTTGATCTGCTTTGTATTAAGCATAGGGAGTATTATTTTATTAAGCCCTAATTATACATTATTAGCAGAAAAAGAATAGAAACCTACTTCAACTGCACCGCGTCTTCCCCCCCAACTCCCCCCCACAGGCACACACACACTAACACTAATATGCAGTACTCCTAAGCATGAGTAGTCAGCCAGCCGTGGGACGAGGGAAAGCGTAAAGTCCAGAGTCACTACTGTTAGTGGTGGTTTTTTCACCCCAAGTGGGTCCGCCTGAGAATGCGTTGAATTAATTGAGGAAAAATGGAGAGAGATCTGAGACCTCCTTTTTTTTTATCCATTTTTTTCATTTCCCCGGGGTTGGGGAGGGGGGGGGGGGGGTATATTTTAATTAAGGGTTTGTTTGGATGGTGAATTTTTTAAGTATTTATAATAAATTTTACTATAATTGATTTTTGGTTAACTTACACATTTTAAAATATTTAATACACAAAAAAATTTTCTTTCTCTTTTCTTCTTCTTCCTCCCCATCTCAATCCATCATCATTTTTGTCATCGGCCACCACCTCCGCTGTCAATTCCCGCACCGATCACCTCTTCTGGCGCTGATTCTGGTGTTGGCCTTCTTCTTTTTCCCTTCCCCCTCTCCTCCCCTCCCCTCCCCCTCCCCCTTTGCCCGATCTAGTCCTCCCCTCTTTTTTTTTTCTTTCTTCCCCTCCCCTTTCCTCCCCTTCTACCCGATCTGGTCGCGTGATCAGATCGTCGCCAGGGAAGGGTAAGGGTGGCGGGGGAGGGAGAGGGGAAGGGGAAAAGGGAGGAGAGGGGAAGGGAGAGGGAGAAAAGGGAGAGAAAAAAGCAAATAAAAAAAATTCCATGGCTGTTGGTTCTTCTGGCAGGGGAGAGGAAAGGGGAGGAAAGGAAGAAAAGGAGGAGAGGAAGAGAGAAGGAGAAGAGAAGGCGGAAGGGAGGAGGAGAGGAAAAAAAAGATAAAGTACAATGGGTTGAGGTTGGGGAAAGGGATGGAAGAACAATGTGGGGAAAAGGAAATTAAAAAAATTTTGTGTGTTTTTTTATATATTGATGTGTGTATATTATGGGTCCGTTTGGATTCCTTATTTTTGCCTCTATTTTTGAAAAACTGTTTTTCACATTCCAAATGCTACAGTAAATGTGTATTTAAAAAATAATTTCAAAAATATCATATCCAAACATTATATCAAAAACAACTCCAAAATACATATTTAATATGTATATTTCAATTATGTATATTATATATATATATATATATTATATTAATATAAATTAAAATATACAAATTGAAAATTATATATTTATATATTATATAAATATTTATATACATCAATATTATACATAATATTGTATATTATACATAATATGTAATATTGTATACATAATATATTATGTACATTACATTATAATATATACATTATTAATGACCTTTCATTATTATGTACATTATTGTGTATAATAATGTATAATAATGTTATGTATAATACATAATATACATAATATGTAATGATGTATAAATGTATATTATGTATATTATATTATATATATACAATATTATGTATATTATACAAATTAAAATTTTATATTATATATTTATATATTTATATAAATATTTATATAATGAAATATACAATAAATATTACAAATTGAAATATTATATAAACACCATATTTATAACATTATAATATTTATAACACCATATTTAATTATATTATATATATTAAATATTTATTTATTTATTCATATTATAAATATTTTATTTTATTTAAAATACATTTTATATATTTATATAAATATTATATATTATATAAATTATATATTATATATTATATAATATATATTATATATATTATACACTTATATAAATGTACATTTATACATAATATATTTATAATATACATTTATATTATGTATTATATATAATAGAATACATTTATAATACATTAATACATTTATATTAATATACATAATATTAATTTTACATTTATATTAATTATATTAATACATTTATACATAATATTAATATATATTTATAATATATTAATTTATACATTTATGTAATATTCATTTATAATTTATACATTTATAATAATATGCACTTGTACATTTATAAATATATTTATATTATATATTATATATAATATAATACATTTATATATTTTTATATAAATATATAAATATATTTATTTATAAATATTTATAAATGTATTATAAATGCATAAATGTATATTTATATAAATATTTAAAAATTAAAAATTATAAATTATAATTTATACATTTATATAATATTCATTTCTAATTTATACATTTATACATTTATAAATATAAATATATTATGTATTATATATAATATAATACATTTATAATATTTTTATATATTTTTATATAAATATGTAAATATATTTATTTATAAATGTATTATAAATGCATAAATGTATATAAATATAAAATATAAAAATTATAAATTATAAAAATACTCAAAAAATATGTTTTAAAAATAACTCTAAAAATAATCCAAAAAAATTTACAGTAAAAGTTTTTAATATAGTTTTTGAAAAACAACCCCAAAAACAACTAATCCAAACAGACTTGTATTTCAAAAACAAAATGCTACAGTGTTGTTTTTGAAAAATAACCCCAAAAACAACTAATCCAAACGGACCAAAAAACTTTGTAAACAAAATTGTAAAAAATTTGTCTATCAAAAAATGGAACAAAAACAAGGCATCCAAACATGCCCTAAGTTCTAGGGAAGATTTCATCATTTCATGTAAGGTACAATTTTCATAATCACTTTTAGGTGTGAATTAATCTGAAAGATTATTCTTTTTTTTTCGTCTTTCAACATAAACCTAATTCGTGACACAGAAATCGCTTGCGATGCACTTCAACTAGTTCATTCTTGAATGAATGCAGTCATTGTTCATCTTCAAGTGAAACGCTCTACTGAATTGAATGGGAGAGCATAGTCCTCGCTCTAAAAGTTTTTAGTCCACCCACGGAGTAATAGCCTTTGGAAGGGAGCTAGGAGAAAATTTCTGGAATGTCCATCGGGTGCAAATTAAGTAAATTTGGAATTGCTAAAAAGGAATCAGGATGCCATATTGCCAATCGAAGAAATCCATGCCTTATCTCTATTTTCTGGAATCATAAGTTAGGTAAGTTCGGGGACTGACTCAACTGGCAAAATTAGGGGATTTCTTGCTGTTATACCGGACTGAGAAGCTGTCACAAAATGTATCTTTTTTCCTCGATGAATGAAAATCAGAATTTTCAAGCTGCTTTTATGAGATTTCATAATTAGACTCAAAAAAAGTTCTTTTGGAAGAAAATGACGTGGTCTCAGATGAATCTGCAGTTCCTTTTATTGGTTACACTTACACCATATTATGCCTCATGCATCTGGGATATGATGCATTTTGCAAGTGCTACGCTCTCAAACCATGAGCTTTCTTGTTTGGATGAGAATGATTAAGGTTATGGTATTGAAGGGAAGGCAAGGCTTTATGAGCCATGCGGGAAAAAACCATGCCTGGAAGTTTTCCTTCGAGACACTGAAAGGATGGCTCAACCACCGTATCCCCAACCGATAGATGCACATTTCTGAATCCAGGTACAGAACTTCAAATATGTATGTGGTATATTAAACTTCATTTTGGCAGATTGAACATTGCATCTCCAGCTACTTGACTAGATACTATCTGCATTTTCTGTCGGCATGGATAGACACCTTTACAGTATAACGTAACCATCCGTTGCCAACTAATGTTCAGGATCCAATGACTGAATGAGGGGAACGTGCAACAGCCTCTTTAAACATGATACCATTTTTCTTCTATTACATTACATGCCGCTTCTTTTGCACCTTATATCGCTAAAGTCATGATGATATTCCTGATTTCCTGTAGCTGGAAGACTTTCTAGCTCCTCAGGAGCCATCACAAACGCAAATGGACCAGAAGCATTGCCACGGAACTATGAGAAGGTCCTACTGAAGAAAATGATGGACATCTCTTTTTTTTCCCCCCCTACGTTCTTCTTCACCTAGATTTGGCAGACAATGCAGCAGAAAAATGATCAAAGAATACTCAAGTGACGAGTATTATAGTGTTAAACTCTTTACTCTTACTGGGGAGCTTACAAGCGTGCGGAGCAAAATTAGTTTGTCCATAGAATAGTGAAAGCTGATGGCTAGACCATAAATCCCAGTTCAACGAGTACGAATATTCGTTAGGTGACCATGAGGTTCCTTTCTACCTTTCTCCAGTAAGTTTTGAGGTCTTCCTTTAGACATGTCTAATAAAGATTGAATTCTACAGACACTTGGAATGGTGTTTTTGTCTCAAAAATTTCCTGGACGACTCAATTACGAATTTACAGGCACTAAGGCTTGGATAGGATGTGGATTTAAGGAATTGAGATACCGGTTTTTCCCCTCCCGTTACGGCTAGGGTATCTATAAGATGTAAGTGATAGGCAATAATGTTTAGACTCCAAAAAGCTGTAATTTTGATGTATTTTAAGCAAACAAAGTTGAATTAGTAAAATGGGGTAAATTCTTCTCTACGGTTCATTTGTACAGGTAACTAATTAACTTGAAAATTGGTCTTCAACACAATCCAGCATTTAACCAGTAACTTTCCTAAATCTTCAGATTGATTGGAGTAAAAATATGGACAGATCATATTTATGGTGCAGATATGCTGGCTTTAAGTTGAGAATTAAGATTAATACGACCTCAAATCAAAATCTCAAAAGCCCAAAGCAGAATGTCGTTAGGTGGAAGGTCATGACAAGCAAATACCATCCCAAGGCAAAAGGCAGGAGCTGAAATGACACATTTTCAATGAGGGGATAATTATAGCTCCTAGATCCTTTGGTAGTAGCAGTGCTGCACTGACAATTGATGAAAGAAAGAATCAAGTTCCACATTCCAATGGTTCATGAATTAGCCAAGCTTTCGGTCACACCATAACACATGACACGTCCTTTCCTTTGAAATTTGATCTTCTTGAACTACATCCCTGAGCCATAGCCAGTTGGTTTGGCTCCACAGATTTGGAGTTACCCCCGAAAAACATGGAATG